GGTTGAGCCAAGGAAGCTGGAACTGGTTACGAAAAAGAAACTCACAAATGCAGCATAGGTAAATATTAAAAATAGAGCATGATTCTAGTATCGCTCCACTGACTGCAGAGAAGATACTCCTGATTTACATTAGTATAAATGAGGGGCGAATCATATGCAAAAGGTTGCAAATGGATATCTCATTGCCTGACTCACTGGAAAGTACAAACTTTGAAGATACAGTAGAACCTCAGAGTTACGAACTGACCAGTCAACCACAACTGGAACAGGAAGTATGCAATCAGGCAGCAGCAGAGACCCAAAAAAAAAAAAAAAAAAAAAAAAAAAATATGTTAAAAATAAACTACAGTACTAAAAAAATAAAAGGAAAACAACATTTTTGTTCTGCATAGTAAAATTTCAAAGCTTCATTAAGTCAATGTTCAGTTGCAAACTTTTGAAAGAACAAGCATAATGTTTTGTTCAGAGTTACGAACATCCTCCATTTCCGAGGTGTTCATAACTCTGAGGTTCTACTGTAACATATATGGGAATACCTTAGAATTCTTGTCCCACCTGACTTATTCATAGCAGACTATCTAGCATCCATTGTGGCATGTTATTAACTCTGATGACTGGCAGATCTGATTCTTTCTCTTCTTCATTCTAGATTAAACTTTCTGTGCTCTGTGACATCAACTTTTATTTATATCGGCTTCTCACTGACTGATTTCTTCCTTGTGATAAAGTGATGCTGAATCATTGTGGGCTTTGACATTCTTCACAAACAGGTGGGGGAGGTGGGGTGGTCTAACAGAAAATTACCGGTAACTGCATTAGTGCTGAGCAAATTGGTTTGATTAAAATGAAAACCAACTTGAAACGTCATTCTACAGCTGAACTGATTAAATGAACTTTTTGTGTGCCAACAATGTGGTCAGCGTTGTACAAGACTCAAAGGAAGAAACAGACTGCCCTACGGATTTAGTAATCTAAATTGATAGAAAACACAAAATGCACAGGCAGATCCAGGAGATGGCTTTATCTTGGGATGTGTGGGAGTTTTCTTGTTTTGTTTAGATTTTTTAAAAAGCTTAGATGAGAACTCCCTCAACATCTAATCCCATTACAGTGTCTTGTTTCTCTTCTTGCTTTCCTATCCAGATTGGCATAGTCTCAACTATTCTCATGGGATGTAAAATATTTAATTTTAGTGAAGTGCTCTGCTGGGCTCCTTTTACTTCTTGAGCTTTTTCCATTTTAGTTAGTAATTGGTGACCAAGCTTTGTGGTTTAGTAGTTAGAGTAAAAGATTGGGAGTCTTGAGGATTCTATACTAGGTTCTTAATTCAATTTACCTATTTATTTAGTCTGACCTTGATCATCTCACTTCACTTCATTCTGCCTCATTTAAAACCATCTTGAAAATGGGATAGAAAAGGACTTCGCTGAGAAAAAGGTGATGTATTTGTGCATCCCTTGATAAATTACACACAATAATCATCTCCAGTATAACTGGTATATTGCCCACCGCTGCCTCCTTCTCAAGAGGTAGAGAGGTCCAACTGGCATCTGTCTGCCCTCAAATACTGCTTGTTACTTGCTTTGCAATAACACTGCAGAAAGATGCCACCATGGGTAGGATGACTGTGTGAACCTCTCACTAATCTGTCAGTGGTACCTGTAGAGGGAGGCAAGGAGATGTCTTAGAAATTTCATATTTTTGGAGCCATAAAATAATTGAGTTCCTGGTAGTACAGTATTCGTGCAAACATATTCCCTCATAAATGTTTTATTTAAAAGATGTTCTTTTAGTATAAAAGTTTAAGAAAAAACAGTAATATCAAAATCGATGAATAATCCTGTCTCAAAAAATACTCTTGTATCTGCTTGATGGAATAATCTGTTAACTCTTCCTATAACACATCCCTTTTTACAACATCTTTTTTCAGCAGGTGAGGATTTATATAGCAGTTTGGCCTCTTTGCTGCAAATCTGTACAAAAGCACTTGAAGAGTTAATATTAATTTCAGATACCACAAAGTCTCAATTGGTGGTGTAAACATGCAGTCAGTGGACAGAGAAATTTATTGCCTTCTAGTTTTCTGGCTCAAAGCCCAGATAAGTATATTTGGATTAGTGGACCAAGAAACCTTTTTGCTAGTGACCTCTATGAGACACTCTTTCAGCTGCACTGTATGCATAATGATACAGCATTGCATGTTTTATCAGCCTAAATCTTTTGACTAGTACTTCATTTCTGCGTGATTAATCTATTTGGGATTATTACTCCTATAATATGTTCAAGTATCACCTTGATTTCTTCTGCCTTCTGTTTACCTGTAGTTTAGACTTGTAAATTATTTTTTACTCTTCCTGATATTTCACAGATTGTGTACATGAGTATCTTGTAATGAAATGTACTATTTATTTAAAGGAACAGTCTTATTGATACCATATTGAAATCAGAGGAAGATTGTGCAAAGCCCAGAGCTTTGCTTTTTGTATAGTAAACTAGAGCAGGGGTTCTCAACATTTTTCTTTCTGAGGCCCCCTCCACGTGCTATAAAAACTCCACGGTCCACCTGTGCCACAACAATACAGCCCCAGCCCCAGACCTGCCCCCAGGTGCAACCCAGCCTTAGGCCTCTTACCCCTGTCCGCGCCCCCATCGCTCCCACTGGTTTTTCTTCATATAAAAGCCAGGACCAGCATTAGGGGGTAGCAAGCTGGAGACCGCCTGGGGGCCCTATGAAGCTACATTGCTCAGGCTCCAGCTTCAGCCCCGGGTGGCAGGGCTCGGGGCCCCAGGCTTCAGCCCCGGGTGGCAGGGCTCGGGGCCCCAGGCTTCAGCCCCGGGTGGCAGGGCTCAGGGCCCCAGGCTTCAGCCCCGGGTGGCAGGGCTCGGGGCCCCAGGCTTCAGCCCCATGCGGTGGGGATTCGGCTTTCTGCATTGGGCCCCAGCAAGTCTAATGCCGGCTCTGCTTGGCGGACCCCCTGAAACCTGCTCGCAGCTCCCCAGGAGGCCCCAGGCCCCTTATTGAGAACCACTGAACTAGAGCATGACAACAGTCTATAGGAAATAACAACAGAACTCTTATTTAGGACTGTTGTGTATGTGGCCAAGCTGATAAGTTCAAGATCTTCAATTTGCTTGCCAAATAGGAAGCTTTGAATAATGACTGATTGTCTGAAAATTTGCTCTGAAATGGTGTATTATTTAATTCCAGGTTAGAGGGGAAGCCTAAACAAAGTTTTTTTCAGTTCTAATATAGTTATATAGGATATCAGAAATAATGAAGTATGACGTTAATGACCCTCAAACACATACCAAGTGCATATGCTGTACTCTGTTTAAAAGCAAAATAAAAAAATATTCCAAGATTCCTATGGTCATATGGGGAAGGTACTTAAAAGTCAGGAAATGCTAAAGTTATGGTCACCCACACAAGTTTAACTCCCTTGTGAGTATGTATTTTTATTGCTGTGTCTAATTAAATGATAATATTTCTCCAGTAATAGAATAGAGCATATTACAATGACTTTTGACGACCTTAGATGCACCTATATAGCATTTTGAATTCTGTATACTGCTCTGTGTGTATTTGAAAAAAAGTTAATTAAAGTCACTTGTGTACAATTTGTCTCATTCATAACACACCCTACAATAAGCATATCACAAGGTTGTAAAATATGTATTATATTGTATTAATTGAGCACTAATATGTGATCATGTAACTGAAGACTTCATTAATGTATACACCCAGAATGGATCACAGTTAAGTTGCAAGTATATCCTTACTTTCCTGACCTTTGAGTTGTTTACTATTGTTTTAATCTAGTTTTTAAAATGAATTGCCTACTCTGAAGCACCTTATGAAGTCTGGAAAAGGGAGCTGTGCAGTTTTTCCGTACAAGACACACACAGACCAGTGGTCCCCAAGCATTTCACGGTCACACACACACCCCCTTACCCCGTCTGTGCCCCCTCCCGGTAGCTGAGGCTGGGAGTGGGGCCACAGATCTGGTGGGAGGGAGGGGGGCATGGACAGGGGTAAGAGGACCATGGCTAGGCCACACCTGGGGGCAGATTTGGGGCCGGGAATGGGGCCGAGGCTTGCTGGGGGCAGAAGAGCTGCAGATGGGGGCTGAGGCTGGAGACATGGCTGGGGCTGGGAGCGGAGCCGCAGCTGAGGGCCAGGGGTGCGGATGGAACTGGGGCTGAGATGGGAGTGGAGCCAAGCTTGGGGGGGTAAGGCTGGTACTGGGGCTAGGAGCAGAGCTGGGGGCAGAGCAGGGCTGGGTGACGCTCCCTCCCTGCCCCCCGTTTGGGCTGGCCCAGGTCCCACCCCTCCCATCCCCCCCCTTGAACATTTGGGCATTCCCCACAGTTTGAGGACTTTTGACATAGACTGAGGAAAAGATACTGATTACTGTATTAACATCAGCCAAATTAATGTTTTCTGAGTTTGGAGTCTTCTGTTTTTTCTTTTGTACATTTAACGACTATGTCAACTTACCGAAATATGTGATATTTAACTGTCCCTGAAGCTAAAGACACTACCTTGTAGTCTGTAAGTCAGTGTCAGCAAGACTGACAGATCTTCTGAGCAATCCATAGTCCCTGGCAGGTTCAGCCTTGGTAGTAGTGTCAGTTGGAGACTGACTTGGCTGACTGTCATACTCTTCCCAACCCATAGAAACAGAGCTGGATAATAATCGGCTTAACTATTCAACATGGGCACTGGCAGTGAACAGTGTTGAAGAAATTCTGTATTCTACTGAAAATAGTCAATCTGAATGAATAAAGGTATTTGAAATGTTAGATTTTATGATTGGCAATTTATATTTTTAGGGAATATAGAAAGTCTTAATGTTTTATGTTCCGTTTTTTGCTGTCAGTGTAGGGTTTTGAAGTTTTTATCTTTAGCTCCTCTTACTGTTTTTCCAAAATGTTTCCATGTTGACAAATCAAAGCTTATATTCATATGCCAAACCATACCTTTGTTTTGTTTTACACAGATTTTGGGGTGCACAGAGCAGAATAGTGCAGCCATGTTTCGAAACAGTCTCAAGATGCTTCTTACAGGTGGGAAATCAAACCGCAAAAACAGGTCCAGTGGTAAGTAAATGAAGACTCCTCCTCATGCAGTAACTCCTCACTTAAAGTCACCCCGGTTAACGTTGTTTCGTTGTTACGTTGCTGATCAATTAGAGAACATGCTCGTTTAAAGTTGTGCAGTGCTCCCTAATAATGTCATTTGGCAGCTGCCTGCTTTGTGCATTGCTTGCAGGAAGAGCAGCCCGTTGGAGCTAGCTGGTGGAGGCTTGGAACCAGGGTGGACCGGCAGCTCCCCTGTCAGCTCCCCGCTCCCCTAACTTCCCTGTGCGGCAGCAGCCCAGCAGGCTATCAATTGCCGGCAGTTCAGCTGTCCCTCCCCCCACTGCCATGTGCTGCTCCTGCCCTCTGCCTTGGAGCTGCTCCTGGGAGCCTCCTGCTTGCTGTGCAGGTGGGGGAGATAGGTGGTTAATGTCATGGTGTCCCCCTCCCCCCCGCTCCCGCACCCCACCTACCCCATCTCCATGTGTGGGGGGGAACACAACAGGGCTCAGGATGGAGGGAGCTTCCTGGCAGCAGCAGCTGCTGTGTCAACTTGCCGATCTGATTAAAAAGGCAGTGTACTTAGAGTGGGGTCAGCCTACTTAAAGGAGCAATGCGCATCTCCATCTCTCTCACACACACACACACACACACGCACACTGTGTGTCGCTCTCTGCCGTGCTGCCTTGTAGAGTGTGAGGCTACATTAACGTCAATCGGTTAACCCTTGAGGGCTCAGCCAAAAGCTAGTTCATCATTTAGCAGTAAGGCATTCCCTGGGAAATATCCCACCCTCTTCCACCCTCTGACTTCACCACCTCAACCAAGCTTCACAATCATCGTAGCTGTGTACAGTATTAAATTGTTTGTTTAAAACTTATACTGTGTGTGTGTGTGTGTGTGTGTGTGTATATGTATATGTGTGTGTGTGTGTATATATATATATATATATATATATATATATATAAAATCTTGTCTAATGAAAAAAATTTCCCTGGAACCTAACCCCCCCTATTTACATTAATTCTTATTGGGAAGTTGGATTCACTTAACATTGTTTCGCTAAAAGTCGCATTTTTCAGGAACATAACTACAGCGTTAAGAGAGGAGTTACTGTACATACCTTTTTATCTATATCTTTGATTAAAAGTTACACTGAATTTTAAGTCATATTAAATTTTGCTCTTAATGATTATTTTACTGCCATATGTGTACTGTATGTGTGTTTAATTGAAGTGTGACCCAACATGGTCTTCTAGACTCAGACCATCATTATAGATTATTAGAGTGCTTCTTTTTCTTACTTTATTGTGAGCGAGACTATGATTCATTTTAGGAAAAGGCATAAGCACCATATAGACACAAAAATAGTTATTAAATTGGAAAATAAGACACTAAGAAAAGTAAGTCATTATATGTAAAAAGAATCCAGACTCCTATGCTAATCTAACATTAAGATTCAAGGTTCAGGTTTTAATCATGTAAATTAAGTACATTTAAAGTTAAGTTTTTCCCAAGAAAAATGAATTTGTGACACCGCTTTACAATGAGATCTTTTGTGTATGAACGTGCTTACAGAAAACATATGCAATAATATATAATGCCACTCATGCTTATGGAAAAAACTGGAGTGTGATTATGTAATGAAAGGCAATGTTGCAGAAGTGCAGCTAGAACTGCAAGATGAGGTTCTGTAAGAAATTGCCTACTCATTCTGATGCACACAAGATATGTGTATTCTACAAAGTCCTCTTTTGGGAGGGACTTCTATTCAAGTGTTAACCAGACTTGACTTTGTCTACCTTTTGAAATCTAATTAGATATCTGCTCATGTCAGTATGTCTGCATGATAATGAGTGGTGGTGATCTGTTTATTGAAGCTTCAGGAAATGAGATGATAGTAGCAGAAGTCAAACCCAGGTCTCATTGTACAACATAGCAGAACCTTACTTCTACATCTGACAAGATATATAAAAAATGGTAATATACATATCACATCTCATTTCAGAAAAGCATAAAATCTTGAACAACAGTGAGCTTCAGATAGTCACCAGTTTAAGTTCTAAACAGTTCCAAACCTGCTTTGTTTTTAAAATTAGAGAAGATCAGGCCTATTAAGATTATGTTACGGTGGAATGATAGTGACACCATATTTGAGGCTGCAACAGAGTTTTAATTTGGACAGGAGCTCCCTTTATTTCTCAGAAGTGTTGTAAAAGTGGTGAAAATAAAATAAAAAATTAAATTTAGGCAGTGTATTTGAATTTTTCATGTCGGGTTGGTGCAGATTTGATTCATACACACAGAACACTCTATTTTCTACAATGCTGTTGATAGCACACTCAGTAAAACTTTCATTTCCATCTCCAACCGATATCGAAGAGAACTACATTGTACAACTTTATCAAACTCATATTCACAAAAACCTTAATAGCTGTCTCATTCTATTTAATCTACTGATCAGCACATCTGTCAGATTCTTTGCATCTGGGAAGTTATTCAGCCATAACATTGCTGAGGTTGCTGTTAAAGTTTTGCATTAAAATGTAAGTTTGATGCAGTTAGGGTATGTGTTGCTCTTTGATATCGGTTGGAGATGGAAATGAAAGTGTTACAGAATTTTGAAGTATGTTATCGACAGTGTTGTAGGCAATAGGAATATGGCAAGGATTTAAGGATATTTTTTTCTTTAACTTTTTATTTCCATGTGTTTAAGTTTTTTGATAGATGGAAGTATAGCCTGCTGTCACCTTAACTGTCATTAAACAAAGTTTGTGCTTGTGTTAATAACTACTTACAAGTAATGTTACCTTGAGAAATATTGGTATCTTATGTACTGTACTGCAGCACACTCATTTGTTTATTTGTCTCTGTGTAACTTGATCAATTTGATAAATGGAATTGATATCTGGAGGTATTCAGTAATTAAATGGAGAAAAATATAAATGTTTCCTGTTTGCATTGTGCTCTATATGTGGTTAATATTTATAATCTTCAGAAAGAAAGGCAGGATCCCCCAGATATTAAATCTTGGTTTATAATATATTTGTTGGGTGAAATTACCATTAATCGTTAGTTTGACACGTGTTCAGCTCCAGTAGTGAACAGTGTAATTGAGAATTTACTCAGAAATCAGTGTGGAAAGGACTAAGGTGTATAGACTGGTTTCTTGCCAGAGAAAACAAACAGAGTTTTAAAATTAAAATTTACACCCAGATTCCTTGCAATGAATAAGCCATCAAAGTCCCTCCTTTTTACACTGCACTCCTTCCACCCACCCTCCTATGGATGTGTTTACAGTAAGTATTAACCCACACTTTTTGGCTAGGTTTGATCTATGAGAGATGCTGTGCGTGTCTTTTCTATCTGTGAAGAAGAAGTTTGGAAAATATTACTATACATTTTTATTATAGTCTACTGAACTTTTATAGCCTACCAATTTAAATATAGATTTTCATTGTAGAGAGAGAGACTATGTGTATTTGCTGGGAGACCATAGCAAGTGGTAGAGGAATGGGATGGGCACTCAGTAAGGTGAGGAAATAAGAGGGAACATGCACTTTTAAGGGACCAAGGAGCCTCTAACTGTCATGTTCTTTTTTTGTCTCTTTGAGACAAGGGTACATTGATGATGCTGTTTGGCGCTGTCCAAGTCAGAGCAGCTGGCTTGGGAAGCTTTTACACTTCATCCAGGCTCAGGCTTAGCACCTTGATGCAATCTGTACACTAAGGCTAGGTCTACACTACCCGCCTGAATCGGCGGGTAGAAATCGACCTCTCGGGGATCGATTTATCGCGTCCCGTCAGATAGACAAGAAAGTTAGTAGAAGTCAAGAGAGTAGCCAGTTTTCTCAATAAACTAATTTCTGCAGCCCTGAAAAGCCTTTGTAAGCCAAAAGGGTAAATTCACCTGCCAATTCTATGGCTCTTAAATTGTAGAATCCATGGTGCCTTACCCATATTTCTGAAATCAGCATCTGAGACAGTACATGATACCAAATCTTGTGGGCTTGAACATGACCCGTATCTTACAAGTCTTTGTTGAAACCTCTTTCATAGCTACTTTCAGCAACTTTCTTGTATATGTCTTTCTGGTATTTTTTGTTGCTGTAACTTTGAATAGATGGATTGTGGAGCTGTTAAACCATTATGAAGGAACTCTTTATGCACTTCTAGACAGACAGAGCAGACTTGAGTTCCAGTGTTACTTAATCAACATTAAACTCTGATTTTGATTGTGGTCAGGACTTCTTTTTAGCATTTACTGTTCATTATCCTCATCTATAGAAAAGAAACACATTAATTGTCAGAAATGCTTTGAATTTCATATAATGACTAACACATTCAGAAGATCTGATAGCCCAGGCTCTATTCTATTTTGAAGTTTAGTCAGCCGGGCATACCTCCCTCAGTCCATAGCCAAACTCAGAATAATTTCACATGGAAGTCTGCACAAAGAATAGAATATGCTAGTATAATATCTAAACTTTTAGTTATTAATTCAGTACCTTGTTGTTCCATTTAATATCACTTGGTGAGGGGGAAAAAGTTCACCTTTAGGAACATGGCTAGTTCTGCTTTTTGTTTCTCTTCCTTCCCCATTTTCCATTCACTATTTGCAGTGGTTGCCGGTACCCCACTTCCCACGTGCTTAACTCCCAATTTCTTTTCCATTCATCTGCTAAAATCATCCAGAGCTAAATAGCTAGTATGGTCATTGGGCATTAAAGTTGACGCTAGGTGCGTCTACTCTGCATGCTTCTTTCAGTGCCATAAAGTGTACATACCTATGTAGCTCTCCAGCACAGGTATAAATAGCAGTGTAGACAGTGAGGCATGGCTTAGGCGAGTAAAGTAAAGATACGTCTGAAAATGTCTCTCTACTCACCCAAGCCATGCCTACCTGTCTACACTGCTATTTTTAGCAGTGCAGTGTCCCACTACCTCCTTGCTGCTGGAGCTTTTCCCCACCACAAGAAGACTCTGGCAGCAGGAAAAGGCTCTGGCAGGGAGGAGGCAGC